TAAAAGAAAAGGAAAAAACAAGGCTGATGGGACAAAAGCAAAAGTTTAAAACATAAACTTAGCCATTTTACAACAGGTAATAACAGCTGTGTGTGTGTGTGTGTGTGTGTGTGTGTGTGTGTGTGTGTGTGTGTGTATAATAGTTGGCTGTTTCTTCATAGAATTTATCTGGACATCTACAATTAGTTACACATGCTTAATTTAAGTGCTGATAAATTTGGTTATGGATTTTTTCCCTATATTTGAATACCAATATTTTTTCTAAGTTTTTAAGCTTCAAATGAAGAATATTTTTAAACTATCGTTGAAATAAAAATATTGTACTGTGGGAAGTGAAAGTGAGGGAAATCCTGTTGACAATGTATACATTTTTTCTAAGTTTTTAAGCTTCAAATGAAGAATATTTTTAAACTATCATTGAAATAAAAATATTGTACTGTGGGAAGTGAAAGTGAGGGAAATCCTGTTGACAATGTATAGACCATAGCATACTTTGGAAAAAATAAAGCCTGACTTCACCACTTAAGTACTCAGGATACCAATTTCTACATCTTAAAAATGGACATCATAATACCTCCCTCAAAGGAGGAAGTTTCATGGAGATTTAAAAAGAAACCATACACAACATATTAAACATAGTGCTTGGCATTGACTTCATTATCAATAATCTCAATTTCTTTTTGCTTACACGCTATACCATATCTTCCAGATAGCGGAAGGCCAGCTAATAGCATTTGTATCTTCACAGGTATAGTTAGACTTCAACTTCTTTAAGAAGGCAATTTAGAAAATCAAGTGAAATCAAATAAACTAAGTGCAGAATGCTTTTATTTTCCATCAAACAAACATAAAAAGTAAACTGAATACTTTGGCCTAGGAAATTGTACTAGAACTAGACTGCCTTGCATATATAACACACACATGATGCAACAAATTTACATTTAGTCTTGATATGGTCACTTTTTCCGAAAGGTTCAAGTGGGGGATTACTAGTAACTGACAGGAAAAAATGTCTGAGGATGCATATCCTCACTTGAGAAATGTTCAGTGTCTACCAGACACCAGATTCTGTCTTATAAACTGAACACTCAAGAAGTTGAGGATACAGCAAACATTTATTTACCCCCAGAGTGAAAAAAATGGGATCAATGTGCACTTCTACAAAACAGAGTAGAAATTCAAATTTCTGCCATGGGCAAAAACAATTTTGTGACCTAATCATATGTATGCAAATTTGATGGTTGTCCTCAGAGAAGTGTTGAAAGGGCCTTGTGCAGTCTCTTCCTAAGCAGAAGTTGCATGTGAGGAAAGGGAAAGAGAAAAGTTTAATGTGATGTTTTTTGCCTTCCTAAATTTCTGAATGCTCTGAAGTTTCCGCTGAGACATATGAAAAACCCAGATTTCCAGCTTGAATCCCTAGATCTGAACACTGTAAATAATGTCCTGAAAACACTTTTGTCTATGTTTCGGCTTTCAGGAGTTTTAAAACAAGGCATACAACCAGAATACATCCAGAAGACAACTTCACTGTTAGAATTTGGGCTTTCACATCCTAGCCACAGGCTTCAATTTCAGGCTTTAATGTCCCCACCAAACTGGAGGTTAGTGCGGCCCATTCTGAGAAAACTATTTCCTCATAGTGAGGAAAATAATCAAAAGGTCACTCTGATCCTGATAAGGACACCATCACCCCTTCTATCCCACTCAACCCCCTTCCTGCCAAGCATGATCTACCCATCTGCCACAGAGGCGATGAATGGGAAGGATGGAGGTTGTAGCAGGAAGAAACAACAGTCATTCTGAATCAACAGTTAGACTCTTGTTATTTGTTGTGATGGTCAATTGCATTTCTGCTGAAGTTCCTAAGATAATCAATCTTAGGTCTGGTTGTTTACAGTGCAAGAACAACAATTAGTGAGGTAATAATAGCTGCATCAAGGGCACAGTGAAAAAGTCATCATTTCTGCTTAAAAACAGCTAATATTAATATGTATGTAAATGAATAAGAAATGGCAAAGTAGCATTTATTTGACTGTTTAACTTCAAGTAGTGATAAACTCAATAGGAAAACAACAAGCAACTTCGTCATCTGACTCAAGTAATTAGCGTTCAGCCAAAATAGAAGATCTGATTATCTTGGGTCAGTCTAATATGATCAAGGGTTTGCTAGGACCAAATATTTAAACTTCTTTTAAATATATTCAAATATTTCATTAATCTTCCAAAACATAAACATTGATAATCTCATTTTTTATGCTTTAAATATATTATGATCTTAAAATATTTAGGTTGTTAAGTGCTTATAATTATAAGCTGTACTTTAGACCACTTGCTGCATCCCCCACCACACACCACAAAGAAAACCTTAAGAATGAGAGAAAAGGTGCTATTATAAAGACTACATGTCCATGGGGACTATTTGCATATTAATGAACTGTGTTTCTATTTACACTTCCATCACCAGAGCTAATTGTTAGCTATTTTAAGAAAAAGGTTATGCCTTAATTAACAGCACTTGGTAAACAAAAGCTGGTTGCATTTCTTAAGTATATTCAAATTTCACAAGTCTTATTTCACAGCTGGGGTCCCTGTTCATCCCGTAGTTTTACTGAGAACACCTCTGATAAAGGAAGAAAGTTTTTAAAAGACCCCAAATAATTAGTTCCAGAACTGAAGTCAACAAAAAGCATAATTAATGAGTAAGTTTTCATCTCCACAGCATTAATATACATGCACATTTTAAGTGGAGGAGAGTGAAGGGACTAGAAGCACCTGTTGTATTTAATATTTCTAACTCTGATATTTCTAAATATTTAACAAAAGTTTGGTTAACAAAATATTTAACATTTTAATTTCTCTTGCATGGAGTTCCTATAACTCTGCCCCTCTCATAACCTCCGTCCTATATCTATGTCTTGGGACTGTTGCAGGACTGAATTTAATCATGTGCTTTGCAGAACATAAAATCCCATAGTTTCTGCTTTGCTTTCCCTTTCATACTGATCATTTCCCTGCTATTACTTCTCCCACCCTCCATTGAAGTCATATCTCCCTCTTCCCTGACTTTATAATCCTTCCCTCTTTCCCTCCATTTCTCTCTTCTCTTGCAGAAGTTTTATTTGTTTTTTTTTAAGCTGTGAGTGGGGGTGCTTTGTGCATAATCTAGCAAACCTGGTCCGGATGTCCCAGTCACAGTCTACTTTTCTACACATTACCTCAAAACTCAAGGTAAGTGGAAAGGAAAAGACAAAACTCCCAAGCAAATATTTTTCAGTTGTCAGTTGTAACCCAAATTTTTGCCTCTTTTTCAGAGAAATCAGAAACAACAAGTGTAGAACCACTTGAGAAAAAAGAAAGTTAGTAAATACAGAAAAAGATTTTGGTTAATATTCCCTTATATAATTTTTACTATTCACAAGAAACTGAGACTGCAGCCAAAACAATAACAGCAAAAATAGCAGCAAATTACACTTATTAATTACTCGGTAGCAGTTAGTCTTCTAAACATTTCACATATATTAACTTATTTAATCCTTACAACAACTCCACAAGGTAAATATTATCAAGGAGGAAATAGAGGTACCAAGAATTAACTCTCCCAGACTCCACAGCTAGTAACAGAACCAGACAGTCTGGATCTACAACCTGCCTTCCTAACAACTGTTCCACACTGCCACAACCATTTCTATTCCACGTATACGCTGTGCATTTAATTAGGTATTTGTTCTACAATCTTGTTTTAGTGAAATAAACTTTTCTGGGGTTAAGATGAGTAGAAATCCCTTCAATATAGAATATTATTCCTCTATTAAATATCTCCACCATTGGACTGAATATAAGTTCCATCTATTTACATTATATATTTTGGGGTAAAGAATGGAAAGAAAAAGGGTTGGAGAAGGGCTGGCCAGTCAGCTCAGTTGGCTAGACCACAGTGTTGATAACATCAAGGTCAAGGGTTTGAATCCCCATACCAGCTAGCTGCCAAAAAAAAAAAAAAAAAAAAATCAAAAGAAAAGAGTCACAAACAAAACAGAAATGTCCAAGTGAGGGCAGAGTTTAAAACTACACTTCCCCTCCATGAGGTACTATGTGATTCTCCAGGTACAGCAGCATCCCTTAGATTCAATCAGAATTCTCCTAAAAACAATGGGCCACCTGCCATCAAAGAGTTTCCTGCCTCCTGCTTGACTATTGACCATCAAGACTCCCACAGCTCCCTTACCTTGAAAACACACAAAAACTCATGCTAATGAGAGAGATTTAAAAGAGAGGGCTGCCTCCATCTTTTCAGTTCCTCCCCAAATAGCATTCCCTTCTGTCCAGAAATTTTCAGAGTGGCCTCTAGATATAGTACCTGAGTACTTAACTACATAACCAGAGGGGATGATTCATTTGGAAGAAAATTCAGACCAGAGAGGCAGACTGAAGAATCTAGGACAAAAAACCATTGGCACTTTTGTGGCCTTCATGTAAGGAGGCCAGTTAAAGCTTCTACCTAGTGCTAGTTACCTTCTCTGTTTGCTTTGGTGCCAGTAACAATGTCTGAAAAAATAGTTTTTCTTTATACAGTATGCAAAAGAATAAATTACAAAACTCGAACAACCTGTTCCCTGTTTTAGAATAATTTACAATATCAAGAAAGCTTTGAAATATTATTTAATATCTTTTATTTGCTTTTTGCCCACACTATTACTCCTTTAGCTTAAAAAAACAACAGTATCAAAAAACATAAACCAAGAGATCAAGTCAGCCTTTCAAAAAAAAGAAAGATCTGTTCTGAAAGCTTTTGCTCCAAACCAATTGCCAATTTGACACCAAGCCAAATGAATTAGGAAAAGAAAAAAAAAAAAAAAATCAAGTAAACTATAAACACAAGGCAAGAATAGACACAATACAAATATCTTCTTTGAAAAATGTCCGTTGCATCAAAAATTCAATAGTTTAGAACAGCATAATTCCTTCTTTACCCAAAGAAAGAAATAAGTGCAAGTACTTACTGTGTCATGAGACTTATCCTTGACATCATAGACTGTTAATTTTATTTTGGTCTCCTCATAGATGGGATACTCAGCTGGGAATGTGACACCAGTCAAAAACAGTGGGTCTCTTGTTCCCTGTAACAGCCAAGCAGATGACTTTGATTCAATAAGGCAGCAACTGCAGTCGGCAGCATGCAGTGACACATGAGAATGTAGAAAGTGTGTCTGAGTCTGTTTTTCTAGGAAATACTTTCATTAGAATAGAGATCTGAATTGCCAAATATCGCTCACGGGCAACAGCGTGGCCCAGGGCCCCAAAGTACGGATATTGCCATTGATTGTCTTTGTCAGAGCTGCTAATAGAGAGCCTTGAAAAACTATTTTCATTATATGCAAAATCCTTCTTTAGGGTCAGTTGTGGGTCCATTTAAAATACATTTAATAGATATTACCTGTACTTTATGCAAATAATCTAAGACATTGGCTGATCAAATTAAAAGGAAGCTATTTTCTCATAAAGAACCATTTGGTAATCTTATGCTATCCATTTTATTTCCTTTATATGATTCTATTGAAAGCCATGCTCTGATGGTGTCCATTTGTTTTTAGATGTTCAGCTGTGATTTTTTTTCCCCCCAGACTGACTTGAAAACTAATGAAAGCATCTCTAAATATGATGGATTTGGGGCTATGAAATTACTAGCTCAAGATGCAGTGCACAGGATATTTCAATGCCTCAGAATTTATTTTAAGAGATCTGACATCCATCATTAAATTTTATGTGTGTGTGTGCATATATATATATATATATGGCCAAATGTCATAGGGATGCTTGCTAGAGTTATATAAAACAATTGTCTATGGAAGTTTTTCAAAGCCCAAGTCATTCATTCACTCATTCATTCATTCATTCATATTTTTATTCAACAAGTACTTTTTGCTTGGCATTGGGTCAGACACTTGGGAACAGGCTGTAAATAAAGCAGTCAAAAATAGCAATACGTTTAAATATAAAATTTTGAAATATGCCAAAATAAATCATTCCTATTGGTTAAAATGGCAAATTTTATATTTGTATTTTACCACAATAATAAAAAATGGAGAAAAAGCAAAAAAACAAAAAAAGTAAATAAAATTAATTAGTTCTTTCAAAATTTTGGCAATATTTTAAAAATAGAATAACATTTAAAATATTTTTCATATAAAATGAATAACTTTACAATTTCAGTCAAGTTCCCTTTATATGAATAAGATTATTTTCATTCATTCAACTACAGCATTAGCTATACATTCTACCAGCACTGGAACCTAAAGTTTCCAAAGGGCAGATTCGGTGCTCCATGCAGTATCTGGGTCATTCCCATTATAGAAATGACTCGAGTCCAGTCTGATTCATTTATTCCATCAAAGCAGGCGGTCTGCACTGAGCAAGCCAGGTCTGGGGCAGGCTACTTACAGAGAAACTCCTCATTCAAAACACATACAGCTCACAAGTCTAAGAAAAACAAGCAAACCTTAAGGAGTTTAGAGTGCACTTTCTCTAGCCCCAGATGTTCGAATAGGTATCTCTCACTCACTAAGGTTGTGATCAGAATTTGTGATCAGAACCAAATAATCAAAAGGGAAACACTTCCTCTTTTGAATTTGATCCAACAAAATAACAAGTTTCCTCCTGACACATTTTGAATGTTCTATTAGTAACAGTAAATGTAAACAGGAAATCTATCATCTGATGAGTAATATTTACACCTTTTGCCTAGAAACATTACAGTTTCTCAAATTAATCATCTACCTTTCTTTGAAAAACATACTTTGAAAGATGTATACAAACAGTGGAGAATATAACATTTCCACAGACAGATTGAAGAAAACAGGAAAAAATGAGAAGGACAAAAGCACAAAACATATGTATCTAAAACTTCTCTGGGTACTTTGTGATTTCCCCCACAAAATAAATATTTATTCCATTTAATTTTAAGTCTATATACATATGTATGTATATATTTTATTTTTATTAAATGCTCTATTTGGGGATTCCAAGTGGGAACTTTTCTATCTCTAGAAGAAAAATAAGCCTTTTTTTAAAGGCAAGTTCTTCCCCCATTTGCTTATTCTGGTAAGTTACCGATGCATGCTTAATAACCTTAGGTATGAGTTCCTTAATGACAGAAGATAATAATATAGCATCATCGCTATAGACCATGAACTTACTTCAGCTGTTTGCTCAAATTCAGAAACAGAGAGGGCTGGGGGGAGACGAGAGAGAGAGAGAGAGAGAGAGAGAGAGAGAGAGAGAGAGAGAGAGAGAGAATAAAGCAGACACACACCACAGCATGCTCACCTCCACAATTTCAGTGCTGGAGTATCTTGTCAGACTCTGCTCTGCGGGGTGGATTACTGAGATCTGCACTAGCGTATTCAGTTTCCGATCACGGACAGGAGCCACAAGATCCTTGCATGCTAGCAACAGCAAAGGAAAGAGAAAAAAAAAAAAAAAAAGAAACTAACACCATATCTTAGGGAAAACTTCTGTTTCGAGTTGAAAGTAAACTTAGCTGCGGGCTGAAGGAAATCTCCGGGGACTCGGGCTGGTTTTACAGAGGAAGTCCCTTGGAAGTACCTTACAGAAATAGGAAGTCACGTGCTGTGGAGCTGAATTGAGAGTTCATTTCCACTGACCACATTTGCAGCTCATGCAAGTCTTGACTGCTCTGAGATCCCAGCTCTCATGTGTGACTATGCACACACTGCTCAGTGACTTCAGTGACTTGAATATGTCATTAAACCCTGGGCTTTAATTCACACTCTGATGAAGCAAGTTGATCTGGGCCATATCCAGGAAACTACACTGTTCCTTTATGACATGGATTGGATTAGTTCAAATGTTTGAGTGTACACTTGACCTTTACCGATCTATTCGCTAGAAATGGGCTCCTACAGTCATGCACACCGATATAGACAGGGAGAGTGGTTACCCCACCACAACAGCACACAAGCAGAGGAAAAGGAAGCAGAGGGGGGGTTTAAAAAGCCCTCTATCTGGAATTCCAGCCAAGCCTGGGAGAGAGACATGTGGGATAAGGATGGGTTAATTCTTGCCCAGGGGCCACAAATGTTGAGAACTTTCTCTTGAGACACCAGGCTCATATTACAGACTCTTACCACCATACCATATTTACTTGAATATTTTCTCCTCTCACATATCATTCACCCAATTTGGGGAAAAAAAATCAAAAAAAAAAAAAAAAAAATTCCTTTTCAGCAAGTCCAGTGTCTCCTCACTATATTTTTCCCCCTGGCTTTGTGAAAGGGTAATTTCACTCCCCTAAGTAGTCCGGTTACTAAGTGTGAATAAGAGGTGGTTAGGCTTGGTTCTTCTCTACAGAGAACTGAGAAGTAACCCTGGGTCCTGGATTCCATGGTGGGGAGGCTGCAGGGCTCAGTACCAACTGTACCCAACTCCTCTAACCAGAGCAGAAAGAAAGGAAGGATGAGTGTATTTAAGGTCTGTTGTGGCACTGCTGCATTTTGCGGGGCCTTCATCCACTGGGACAAAGGTAATATGGCTTAAATCTTAAACTTGAAAGCAAAAGAATATCCAAAAAAAAAAAAAATTCCTTTTCAGCAAGTCCAGTGTCTCCTCACTATATTTTTCCCCCTGGCTTTGTGAAAGGGTAATTTCACTCCCCTAAGTAGTCCGGTTACTAAGTGTGAATAAGAGGTGGTTAGGCTTGGTTCTTCTCTACAGAGAACTGAGAAGTAACCCTGGGTCCTGGATTCCATGGTGGGGAGGCTGCAGGGCTCAGTACCAACTGTACCCAACTCCTCTAACCAGAGCAGAAAGAAAGGAAGGATGAGTGTATTTAAGGTCTGTTGTGGCACTGCTGCATTTTGCGGGGCCTTCATCCACTGGGACAAAGGTAATATGGCTTAAATCTTAAACTTGAAAGCAAAAGAAATTATAGATGTAATTAGCACCTTTCAATCGCTTACAGATCATCTAATTTATAGAAGCAGAATGAGATAGAAAAAGCAGGAGCTTTGGAATGAGACAGGCCTGGTTTTAATCCAGTTCTAATAGCTAAGAATCTTTGGGAAAATTATTTAAATTCTTAACTTATTAGCAGACTTTGGGATCCTCTTGTTCCTGTAAGGCATTTTGTCATAATTTTTCCTTATTTAAACATGGTGGCTTGCAGCAGGCTGGAGCTACAGAGAACTGAGAAGTAACCCTGGGTCCTGGATTTCATGGTGGGGAGGCTGCAGGGCTCAGTACCAACTGTACCCAACTCCTCTAACCAGAGCAGAAAGAAAAGGAAGGATGAGTGTATTTAAGGTCTGTTGTGGCACTGCTGCATTTTGCAGGGCCTTCATCCACTGGGACAAAGGTAATATGGCTTAAATCTTAAACTTGAAAGCAAAAGAAATTATAGATGTAATTAGCACCTTTCAATCGCTTACAGATCATCTAATTTATAGAAGCAGAATGAGATAGAAAAAGCAGGAGCTTTGGAATGAGACAGGCCTGGTTTTAATCCAGTTCTAATAGCTAAGAATCTTTGGGAAAATTATTTAAATTCTTAACTTATTAGCAGACTTTGGGATCCTCTTGTTCCTGTAAGGCATTTTGTCATAATTTTTCCTTATTTAAACAACATGCCTCTAGCAATACAGTAGAGCTTAGGAAAGCATGTGTAGAAAAAAATAATAGCTACAGTTAATTTAACCCTCACTATTTTTGAGGCATTCTGCTACTTATTCCTCCAAATGGTGCTCTGAATTATCATTTCAGTTTTACATACTAAAAACTAGAGGCTTGGACACACCAAGTGTTCACATTTACATTACTGGAATTCTCTGGTAGTTTGATAGCATCATTCCCCACCAGCTCTGTTTCTTTTCTTGGCATACTGACCTGCTCTCCTGCATGGTGGCACCTCTCTTTGGAAGAGCTACAGCCGTGATTCTTTACTGCTCATCTCAAGAGATCCACAGTTTAAAAAAATACTGATGCAAGGTTTCAATAACATCAAGGAAAAAAAAAAAAGCTAGATTTAGATTTTACTGTTCTTAGGTGGTTATCATGATCATTTCCTCTAGGTAGCCTGTGAGTGTGTTTAATTTACTGCTCATTCTCTTGGTTTTCTGCTCACCGTGAACAGCTCTCTCTCCATTTACTGATATTGATTTATATCTGTTTTTGGATCTTAAAAAAGCTGTGTTTCAGACATTTGCATCTTGCCCACTTTCTGCTTGTAGCCTCATCTCTGCCTTGTGAGCTCGTGACACCTTTGCTCAAAACAAGTCTCTTCTTTTGAGTTCTTATCAAGCTTGGTTGTGGGCTGTGGTTATTTCCCAGAAGTGAGCAGCTCTTCCCATTTAATCAGAGAAACTCTCAGACTAGCTCCCCAGAAAAACAGAGAAAATCTCTATCAAGCTGAAATGTTCTGTTCAACCCAATTTGCAGGTCTTGATGAAGGAAAAATGATAGCAATAGCACTTTGTGTCATATAATATTATATATTTAAAAACAAGCCCAGAAAACAACAATAGTTATATCTTAAGCTATGCTTATCTCTTTTCTTCCAGACAGCCTAGAGCATTTACTGTTCCCTGGGGCTTATTCAGCCCGATGTCAGGGGACCCTGAGATGAGGCAGAATCCTTGAGCCGCAGCCTCAGGTTCCCTGTTTTCTAGTTCTATGTCACTGAGAAGTCACAAACTCTCAGACACTCAATGCCTCCTCTGTCTACCCACTTCTCCAGGTGCAGGTGAAGAAGAAATTAGACCTTTTTATGAGAGGACTTTCTATGCAAAAATGTTTACTAATATCATTATACTAATATTTACCAAACTAATACCAACATATACAAATATTCGGTGCTTTATTATTATATGAAGTGGTTTTTATTGACTCAGTCATACTCATAGGCAGTTCCTTAAAAGCTGTCACCAGGTCCAATATTTCTTGGTAAATACCAAACCAGTATGTGAGTCATTGCTTTTCATAAAGAGAAACTCATGCACCTTATGGATCTATACACACTGAAACTGTCCCACTGGAGGGGTGATACAGGATGAGTGATTGGATTGCTTCATGGATGTATTACTCATTTGATCACTGTAAAATCTAATCTGCATGGGAATTATTTAGTAGCTAATAGAGAATCCTGAAAAATCTGTTTTCAGAAGTTAAAAAATGTTACATCAATCTTTCAGCCATACTTACCACTGCTCATTTCCTAAATAAAACTCTACTCCAGGAGGGGCTGAATAAATGGCCTTCCTCAACTTATAAGACTAAAAGAATTCAATGCTTGCTTTGGGATTTTGTTTCTGTTTAATTTTATTTAAGAATCCTCTAACCACTTGAATTAAATGAGTAGTAACAAACAAATGCTACTCTGCAACCACTCATTCATCAATAGATTTTTACTTTTATTTGTGCCTCTTTTTTACTGGCTTTGTTTTGGACTAAGTTATTTAAAAGTATTCCCAGGACTCAGAAGAGTTTAAATACATATGATGTTAATAGGTTGGGATTCAAATGTACTTCTGTCCACTGAATTGACTATTTTTTATTGAAAATGGAAAATAACATAGAAGTAATGAGTAATTTTTTTTTAACTGTAATCTAAATTTTTTCTGTAGAAAAATATAAAAGAACTATGAATGATGATTTTTCTAGTTAACTTTGCTATGGTTAACTAGCAACATGAGGGTTCACTTTCTATTGTGAGTGGTTGTGAGTGAGATGCCATCAGGAGTCCCCAGCTCAGACGTGTGCAGGAGCCAGGCAGCTCTCACTCTGCTAGAAGGGGCTCCTCAGAAGAACTGTAAAGATAGGGATAAGTGGAGCCTCAATACCTTGCTGGAAGGCTAGGCACTGAGCAAACTAGAAAGACTATGCTTTGTCAAAAGAGGGGAACTCCACGCAAATTTATTGCCCAAAGAAATAAAAGCTCACTGTGGCTTGATTTCAAGATTTGTCCAAAGCTTAACAAATTTTAAGATTTGTCCAAAGCTAGTCACTATGGAGGCTAACAGTGGAAGAGCCACACAAAATACACCTGTCACTCCATTTGGCCTGAAGGCCAGAGGTTGCCACCCTCGGGCCTAGATGATTCCGGCTACTACCTAGACTCTTAAGAAGAAAGCACAGATTATCTTCTGCTCTACTAGTTCTTTGATGATTTGAAAATCTAGAAGGTAAAAGGCAGGGCTCTTCAGGGTTCCAGACTCTGTCTATCTCCCAATTTTTTTTTTTTTTTTTTTATGCAGTATCAGTTTTTGTTTCATTTAGCCATCATTTCTAAATCATGTCAAGACTAGTGAGTCCATTGAGCCTTTCTACCATTCCAGCCAACTTTGGCTGGATGCCTAAAAAAGTCTCTTGATTGTAATATCAGAGAGCTCAGTCCCAGCAATAATCAATTTGAAGAACACCACAACTGTTCTTT